ACCGATCTCCACACACTCGCGCGTCAAGGGCGCGCGAGCTCCGCCCCTACAACTTGTAGCAGTAATGTATTTAGCTCCATTGGTGAACCAGCCGATTAGATTGTAGCTGTAGTTCCTGTCAAGTGCAGTGATAACTCTCTCTCGCCCTCCCATCTCAGTTATTGCCGCAGATGCCTGATGTATTAGTTTCTGATGTCGGCATTGTGCGCGCCGTTTCGAGATGGGGAGCTTCTTGCACGTGTCTCATTGGGTGTTGGGAGCCTCAAGCTTCTGACCATGCTGGGGGCCTGCTCGGGTCGCTGATGTTTGCAACGCTTCCCTAACCCCAGCTTTATCAATGGGTTTTGCATCAACTACTGTGGCTCACATATCGTGTGGTTTGTTCACAGATTTTTCCCTTGGCACGCATGAACAAGATGGCCAACGCAATGTTCACGTTATGTTAGAAACGTGAGTCGGCTGTGAGAACAGCAGTTTCGATCCGAAACTCTCGAACCACCGTCTTAGTATCTTCGCTGTAGGCAGTATCTCATCAGTTCCTACTGGGAAATTGATATAGTTAACGAATGCTCTCGAGTTGGCTCTGGGAAACTCGTTCTTAAGCTGAGAAGGAGAGTGTCAGGCTGATTCTCGGGTCTGGACAATGACACGTCGGAGAGCACAGGCCCTCCTAGGACTTGTGCCATTCTCAATGGGAACCGCCTTGTGAAACTAATGTATCGCAACTCGATTCCATAATGAAGCTCAGTTAGCCTATCGGACAGAGTGGACGGAATATTTCACGTCCCCGGCGTGTCACTGTCACGGAAAGTCCCAGGTGACGCCAGAGCGCGGGATACCAAAGAGAACGGGTCTGCGCTGAAAGTGTCCACGATCGTCCTGTTTTGTTAGACTCTTGAACTTTGGATATGGAACATCGTATCTTCGAATATGGTCCAGCGGATACGTGTTCCGGTTTCCTACGATGGTCACGATCGGCGGAGGAAAAACCCTCACGATTAGTAAAACTCCTACACGCTCTTCGAACCTTGCGGAAGGAGAACTCCCTCTGTCGTATGTTGATGGTTGGTCTGGTATGTGGGATTTTGTTGTGTTTAATTTTTTGGTACATTTCGACTATTCTGATCATCGCTTACCATCCCTCGTCGGTCTTAACTGTATCGGTCAACACAATCTCGATGAAGCAAGTCTGGTGTGGTATGGTCACTCTCGATAGGACTCTAGAGTACTGCGCAGAAGGGACTGCAGAATTGAGGTTACAAAACAGATTGTGGAGAGACGTCACGGTCCTCAGTTTTGAACTAGTGAAGCCACTTGGGTACGATTATGAGGGCGATGGCCTTACTGCTGGATTCCTCCAAGTAGGTGGTACGGTCATCGACGCGATGAGCGATGATGTGTATGTATTGCCGGTGATTTTAGCGTCATTTACCGATGAGGACTATCGGCTCGTCAGGGCGAGTGATCTTGCTCTACAGCTTGATCTATACGCGATGGGCTTCCGCTTCCCTCACCTCGACTATGGTATAATCAAAGTGTCGAACTTTTCGGTCCCTACTGCATGAGTAGGAAATGGTTATGAATCACGTTGGGTGGGTTGATCACCTTAGATGGTTCTAATTCCGGTACGTGTAGATTTATCAGACTCACTGTGCTGCTCGACTCAATTCCAGCGTTGGCGCCCAGTGTTCCCTTCCATTCCCTGTCCATTTTTATTGTTGTTTGCCAGAAGGCGCATAGTCTTTGAGCTTGCCTCAACTGAAATATTTCCGAATCGTCTTTCCATTGCTAATTGGACTCGTGTTGTAGTTAGATGTAAGACTGATCCTTGGTTTTTATAGTCGTGCCTCTTCTTCTTGGTAGAGGTGGGTGTAAGCCGACCCTGTTGGTCAATGAAGAAGGCTTGGATGGCTCGCGGTGTCAGATTGATCCAAGAGATGGCTGATGCTTGAGACTGCTATAAGGTGAATCTCTCTTATTATACCCCAAGTATTCTGGATTCGCAGTGAAGGCGTCGGGCTACTGCAGTATTGTAGTTACTGTGAGTTTGCCTATGAATCCAATGCGAAGGCGAGAGACCTCCCCATTACAATCTACTAGCTTGGAGGCTCCTGGAAAGGACGTTGTTTAGCTCTTGAGAACAGTAGTCAACAACTGTACAGAGCTTCAGCAAGGTCACCACACCAAGAAACTAGCGAGACGTGACCGTTTTGCGGCGGCTTGCCGACTCGCCCATGCACTTCCTTGCGTTCGACGGTCATGCCTTCGTCGAGAGGCAAATTTTTCGTTGAATAACTCGCTGATAAGCCAAGTCTCTGATGCCACTATGAGTCTCAGCGGTTGCTCACCCGTACCGGTTCCAGGACAGTTCTCGCGTACTTGAAGAATATCGAGGTCTAATCCGCCCGACAAATGATCGACCACCTTCGTATTTCATTCTCAGCTCGTTGTTAACCTGAGCAGTAGTATAATCACGGGTGGACGAGACGGTAGTACTATTCTCGCCGAACAGTTGTGTTGAGTTGTAGTGTTGGTTGAATGAGGGATAGGCTGTGGGAACCGGCAAGCTCGTTTTGTCAAATCGCCTTCGATACAACAGGCTCGGTATCTTCGGATGATGTCCAAATCGGAGGTGGTCTCATCAGAAGAGGAAGAGGTTAATAAAACCACGGAAAGTAATCGGCAAGGCTCAGGGGAGGAACTGTTGGGGAAACAACTTCCCAAGGAGTCAGTGTCTCCAGAGCTGGATGAGGACTCGTTGCTTCTGGCTTTCGGACGTCAGGAGGCACACAAAGCGGTGGTAAGGGTGTCACTCGGAGGCTCGAGGGCATCGCTATCTGCCCTGTAGGAGTGGTGCCAGAACAATTGCCATCGCAGTGATATTTTTGAATGCCGATTGGAGGATGGGACAAGACTCAAGTGGGTTTCGGGCGAAGAGAAAATCGGCCACAATTTGGTTAGTTAGGGAGGAAGGGAACGCAATGGTGAAGAACAGGGAATGGGAGGAAGCTAGTGAGAAATACCTTGCGGCACTGTGAGTCGGCGCGGGGGGCACTTCTTGGGACGGATGCCCCACAGTTCGTCTATAGAGTAGATGTTGGTTCATAGTTCTATACGAGTTTCAGGTATCAGGTAGACTTCTCCATTGGCCAACAGTGGCAGCTCACCAATGAGCATCAGTATTTGCTGGACAATATCAAACTGACGGTAAGGCGACGGGACGAGCGGGAAGGTAGTAGTTGAGAGTGATAGTAGTAGATACTGAATAACCTGTGCCTTGCTTATCTCCATCGCGATGATCCAGAGAAAGCTCGGAAGTCCGCTGATCTAGCATTGAAGAGTGCGGCTACTATGGACCGGTTGGCGAAGGAGACAGACGGTTTGGAGCCAGTGTAGGGCGGCGACTTGCTCTTCACCTTCCCAGCACGCTTGTGGAATTTTAATCAGCTGGTGGTTGATGATAGGCCTATGTTCAGGCGGAAGGAGACGCTGGGGAAGGTTTACTACAGACGAGCTAAGGCCAGTTACTCACTGAGGGACTATGAAAGAGCGTATGAAGACGCTAAGGAGGCTCTAGAGGTGCGCCCAGAGACTTCCCTGAGAGGACGTCCTTCCGCTTAGAGCTGCCCATCAGACACTGCAGTCAAGCGGCTGATGACTGAAGCATATCGTATGGTGAAGAAGGAGGAGGAAGTGAGGGAGGGGCGGTAGCAGCCTGAGGGGAGATGCTGTGACGGTTTTCAGAGAACGAATCGAATGTGGAAGGCTAGTGCCAAGAAGATGTTTGCCGACAACGACGCACCAAAGGTTACCCAGGGTAGGTCCAGTCTTTTATGCTCCCTCGTGATCGTCTGAGTGCAGGCACAGGTAGTATTGAGAAAAGTGAAGCGAAGCCCGAGCAACAGGGTTGGATATCCTGGCTATTACGATGCTCAATGTGCCCTCGAAGAAAGCGTGATTAAACATTTGATTAAACATTTGTTGCTGTTCAAAGTCATTTCATGCAGTTTTCTGTGTTGGGTTGTCACAGTTGCAAGAGGTTTAGGATAGTTTCTTCGCCTATGTGATGGAATCCCGGATCGGCGAGCTGTCCCCTCTACAACTACTACTATTGTATTAAAAAGTGAATCACATCTACAACAGATAAGGTTGCGTTAAACAATCTTGTGGTGCTTTCTATCACAGGAGCATCAGTTCTTCATGAACAGCTACTCCCAGGTTGTGGCTCGTAGCAAGTCTAGCAGATTGTCGGACCAGAGCAGGGCCGGCAGACCAGAGTGATACACTGAGAGAAGTTCGCCGGGGAGTGGTATGATTAGGTCACCGAAGGATGCCCAGTTGGAAATCGAGTACTATCGGCTCAAGGTCGACGAGCTGCAACTGACGTTGGAGCTAGAGGAGCAGAACAGGACTCTAGGGGAGGCCAGGAGACGGAAGGTCGTGGACATCTTTCGATCGACTAGGGTTAACGAACTTTCCAGGCATTGGAACGAGAAGATGCGGACTTGACTGAGAGAGCCATAGAAGGGTCAGTGGGCTCCGAGAGCTCCTTTGGGTTTGAGAGTACTCAGATACCGCGCTACTGTTCAATATCTATACGGCTTGCTCTTGAAGTCGCAGAGGGAAGTGAGCTCATTGCAGAGGAAGTTGGAGGAAGAACGAGTCCGTAGTTGATGGAGGATCCTGGTTGGGCATCTTTACATCAGGGACGGCGAGGGCTGGAGGATTCGGCCGGTGTGACATGCCGAGAGGCTGAGAAAGTTATAGACATGCTCACGCTGGAGCAGAATCGAAAACAGGATGAGCTTCAACGCCTTGAAGTAGGTCAGGACCGTATGTTCGATGGTGTAGGAGAACCCTGCTAGGGGGAACTGAAGAAAGTCAGGGGTGCTCTGGTCGAGGCCGAGGAGGTTTGCGGTGAGAGACAGGCCACCATAGAGGCGTATGAGGAGCTAGTGGTAGAGAAAGAGCAGGAAATTAATCAACTGGTGCGTTTGCCATGTTGGTTCTATTTTGCTGACTGGACTCGTTCAGCTGGAGACGGTGAAGGAAGTTATGGGACGGGCACATGCAGCTGCTGAATCGGCCAAGTTGTGGCGTATTAGAGCGCTGGAGATCGCCACAGAGGTAGCCTAGGAGTGTAAAGTGCTGAGGTCACATCTCCGTCCCAGACCGCCAAAAGCACTGCTGAGGCGGATGGTGAACCGGGCCATCGAGAGAGTCTTCTCATGTCGTCATCAGAGATTGTTGCGGTGTCTCATTGTACTGCAGTAGAGCGGCTGGCTATGGAGACAGTAATAGAGAAGATGTGCTTGACTTCGGAGCAGAGGGCGGCTCTGACAAGCTTGAAGGTAGGCAGCTTGATGATGCCGCTGTTACTCTAGCGTTGACAGGCCCTGTCCTTGCTACGACGAGTCCTCCGTAGAGCTAAGGTCATGAGTCTATGTTTGGCCCGATGGCTGTGTGGAATGCCGCAGTGAGTTCATGACGCTGACCAACCCTGCCTGCATATGGGGCGTCTATCTAGGTCGCAGGGCTCCTATCTCTGCTCGCTGCTGGCTAGGACGGCTGATGCCTCTGCTGGAACTATAAGGGAATTGGCTGGGCAGGGCGTCGAGAGGTGACCCTCGGCGATATTCTAACATCAATGGTGCTCGCTGTAGATGTATCAGTGTGGCCAGCACCAAGGGAGCCGCAGACTTGTTGCTCTCCGCAGAAGGGGTAGGGCGGCTGCTCTAGTGGGTGATGTAGGCAGCTGCTTCAGGAGCTGGATGATGTCGTGCACCATATGGCCGTGGGCACGGTGGCCTCACTGCCCTACGATGATCTTGTCGTGTCAGTACAGAACTTCCTCACCAAGCTGCAGTCTGCATGCTCAGCTATGTAATCGTCTCCTTCCGATACCACGCCTTCAGATCCTCACAGGTTCCCTGACTTCAACCCACTGGCTGTAGCGGGCGTCGCGGGAAGCGCGGTCCTGGCAGCTAGACTAGTTGCTGTCGCGGCAGCTGCTCACCTAGTAGTATGCGATCTGCATCATCGCTCCGGTGAAGTCAGATCTTCCCAGGACAACCATCACGATGAGGAGGTTGAGAGACTACTCCGGCCGTGCGAGATGAAGATCCGGCAGGCTCTGAGCGCTGGTGGTGACACGATGTCCTTCCGCCCAGCTGCTGTCGAGGCTCATGAGGAGGGTCGTATCAGAGCTCTAGAGAAGTCTGTCTTCGCATCCTGGAGTGGAGGTGCTCCGAGCGACCTCGTCTGCGAGTGAATGCTTTTGTGAAGTAGATAAGGTTGGCAGTACTGGACCTAAGGGCCTCGCCGAAGGGCTGGAAGATGCAGCGGCGCTTATCAGTAACTGCTGTTCAGTTGTTGTGGCATTGCTATGCAGCTCATGCTCAGGCCGGCTGCCTCCTGAAGGTGAATTGCCAGAAGTGACATCGAACGAAGCTGAGGGCTCGCTGGTGGCGGACATTGTTGACTTGCTGCACAAAGAGGTGAGGGGCACGGCCTCGACTCGTCGTGTTGTTTACCTGCCTATATGGCCGTAGTCGGGTCGCTACGGTGACCTCCAGCAGAAGCTCGAGGGAGTTCAGACAGAGGCTGGGTCCCTGCGGGAGGAACTAAAGGTGTCCAAAGGAAGTATGTGTTCGTGGCGAGTATAAGCCTATCGATGAATGTGTTGTAGATGCTGACAGTCTCCGAGCATCTCTGGGGACTTTGGAGCAGAGGCTCATCCAGACATCCCAGAAAGACGAGGCAGCTAAGGCAAGGGAGTCCGAGTTAGAGCGGCTGCGGGCGGAGATAGAGTGAGTCGATGTAGCTTAGCAAGTGTGTTGCAGAGGCTCAGGTACTACCGTCGTGTGGAGAGGCGGCAGCTAAGGGCACAGCTCGGCAGTTGCCAGAAGGAGCTGGACTCTGCTGGCGCTAAGGAGGCGTCGTTGAGGCGGAAAATCAAACAGTTCGAAGAGGTAGGTCAGCAACTCCGATGGAACTCTCGTGCTCCTGCGTTGGTCGCAGGCCGAGAAATTACGAGCTGAACGAGAGCGAGCAACGGGTGACTTTGGTGGGAGCAGACACCTGCTGGCACTGCAGATGCGGATGTTGAGTGAAGAGGTAGGCGGGGTTGGCAACTTCCCGGTTTTGCTGCTCTTTCCATCAGAACGCCCGTCTGCGAGCCCGTCTGGTAAGGGCGTATATGAAGCCGCTTCTGGCTGAAGTTGGTCCTCCTGGAATAGTTCTGAATTAACCCCCTCAATGCGGCGATGCACGCATGCTCTTCAATTTCTCCCACACAAGTTTCCATCATTCCTCGGTCGCCTATGAGTTAGTCAGCTCCATCGGTCTCGCCGGTCGTTGTAGTGTGATAGCCTCTGTAGTAATGATGGAGTCCACGAGAGAGCGAGTAGACGGTAGCGAAGACGCTAACCACTATGGTGTTTCTAATAACACGGCCTTGGTGAGGCTGGATCCTGACTCTATGCTACGGAATGTACAAGTGCGTTTCGAGGAAGCCTTCCGAGAGGGTAGGTCGGGTGCTGGTTGGTCCTAAAGCGTATCTTTCCCAGCTAAACGAAGGGCTATACGCTGTAGCACTGGTGACACGAGCGGAATTCAGTTCCTGGGAGAAGGCGGTAGTGGCAGTAGCATTTACACGTGGACAGGCTCGGTGCTCCTGGCCATTAACCCCTACCAGCACATGAACGTTTATGATGTTGAATACGTTAGGTGGGTCCTCTTCTTTGCATGGTCTGCACGATCTCTACTTGGCAGATACCACTACTCTAAGAATTTAAATCAGGCGGACCCGCACCCCTTCGCCATCGCCAGTCATGCGTAGTGCTACTTATGGCACTTCGCTGTGTGGTTCTAGTAAGGCGCCCAGGTACCGGCAGCTGTCGAAGACGAGGATGTCCCAGTCCATTATCATCAGTGGGGAGTCGGGTGCTGGGAAGACTGAGTCGAGCAAGTAGTCTTTCAACTGCTGTGCAGTCTCACAAATGGAACCGTTGCCACTCGCACCAGGCACGTCATGCGCTTCTTGACGATGCTGGATGAGACGTTCATCAAGAATGGCGTCAGCTCGCGCTCCAACCGAGATGGCAGTAGTGGGAGAAGTACGCTAGATGACAGGATATTAGGTGAGCTCATAGGTCTGTGCATGGAGGTAGCCATGCTGTTAGGGACCAACCCGATTTTGGAGGCCTTTGGCAACGCGAAGACGGTACGAAATGATAACTCGTCTCGGTTCGGGAAGCTGATGAAGTTGAACTACACATTACCCTCGCCGACTACTGCCCACAATGCCGCAAAGTGAGCTGGGAGCGGCTGTTTGCGAGGCGAGGAGCTTCGCTCCGCTCAGGCCCGTCATAAAGTCGGCATCAATAGACACGTACCTGTTGGCACGAAGCAGAGTGACACATGTAGTTTAGCGATTCACGTTGTTGCCCCACCCATAGGCGCTTGTAGACCGGCAGCACCCATGAGAGGAGCTACCACATATTCTACCTCTTATGTGCTGGCGTGCGGGACGAGGAGAAGCGGAGGCAGCTAAGGCTCGAAGGTTGGTGTCTAGCGAGGCAGCCTATTGGGGAATGTTCCATTGAGTGTAGCAAGTGCCGCCGACTACAGCTACTTGACGCCCTGTAAAGGGAAAGGCCCGGCAAAGGTGCGGGATATGGACGATGCTGTGGCCTTCGACGAGGTCGGTGGTAGCATGTTCGAGCTGGGGTATGTGCAGGGTAGGTCGTTGGAGCTTTCACCAAGTTGGGCGTATCCGAGGCTGAGCAGATGGAGATCTTCTCTGTGGTCAGTGCTGTGATGAAGCTGGGGAACATAAGGTGAGATGCGTCATGGGTGGTGTCAGCTGATGAGGTTGCTCAGGCTCTATCCAGACGAGGCCAACCCTGAGGGCAAGACCAGGACCGATGAGGCGGGGAAGCGGGCTGCTGAGGATGTGGCTGCTCTCCTCGGTCGGGCTCAAGGAGGTTGAGCTTGTCGAATTTGTCGTTGGTAGGGATGGAGCAACTGTCGGAGCCCTTTATCGAGCATCTCACACGACAGCGCCTTGTTGTTGGCGGCAACAAAGACATCACTTGGGCTGATGTTGCGGCGAGCAAGGCGACCACTGTCCGGGACGGTAGTCGTCAGGCTTGTGGCAGTGATCATAATCTATCTCCTTCAGCTATGGCAAAGTCGCTTTATGTGAAAGTCTTCGACTATGTCGTAGAGCTGCTCAATGAGAAGCTACAAGGAGACTCCGCCGAGGAGGCAGAAAACGTCAATCCGAACCCCCAGGTGATCAGCCGATACGGAGTGCTTCAACATATGCCCTTTCCTTTCAGTCACCGACGACGGCGCCTCAGGAGAGGAGCATCTGTATATTAGACATTTTTGGATTTGAAAATCTAGCTCGAAATTCATTGGAACAGTTATGCATTAATTTCGCTAATGAGAGACTCAACGAGTACTTCACTGAGAACGTGAGACTCGTCCTAGATGGGTGGACCGGCTGTATCTCACTTGTAGGTGGTACTGTCGGAGAGGGAGGAGTATCATCAAGAGCATATCCCACTGGTGAGTCGGCCGATAGCGCCGCCGTAGTAGAATCCGTTGCCACATAGCCCGACCTTGCTCCACCAGACAATAGGCCCACCATTAATGTGATTGGCAGCCTGAGTCCGCCTGGTAAGGAGGACTGCCTGTGGTGGTGACACTGGATGGGAGTATCAGGCATATTCGAGCAGCTGCGGGTGGTCACTGTGGACTATATGATCCGACCTCTCGACAAGGACTACGATGATATCTTCATGTCCCGTCTTGGTCGGCCTCCAGCCTTGCCCGAGTCGTGGGAAGTTGTGCTTTTTCAGCCCCTGTGGCGGCGATTAATTGGCGCAAAGATGAGAGTACAGGCGGGCGGACACAGCAGCGAGTTCTCAAGTGTGTCGGGCCGCAGCATCCACGGCTGTTCATAGTGAATCACTATGCGGAGCCCGTCACGTGAGGGGTGGTCTTGTTTGCTTTCGCTCCCGCACTCGGTGTTGGTGTAGTTATAGCACTGAGGGGTTCATTGAGAAAAATAAGGACTGTGACCGGAACGTTACGGACTTGCTGTCTCTGTCGACGAATGACTTTATTCAGAAGCTCATCAGTGGTAAGAACTGCACTACTACTGCGGCAACTAGGGGAACCTCCTGTAGGCTCAACGAAGGCGGTAGAGACGGACTCAGATGGAGAGGCCTGGCCGGAGTTTGCCTCTGGGCGTATGTCGGTCCAGCCTTCCTCAAGGATGAGCGTAAGGTCTCTCGCTAGTCTCCCTGGGATTTTCTAACACCGTTGGAGTCTCAGCTTTTCGGTCGGCCAGCTGCACGGAGCATGTCTGTTGTTGGGTCATCGCGTATGTCGGTGGCTCGGGGTGGAGGAGGTGTTGCTACTCTCAACTATGGCGGAGCGGCGGCCTCTAAAAAGTGTATAGCATCAGAGTTCGCCAAACAGGTAAGAGACTCCTTCGAAGGGTAAGGTGTCCATGGCTTCTTCCCAGGTCGACGTCCTCCTGGAGGATCTCAAGGCCACTCGCTCTCACTATATACGGTGTATCAAGCCCAACGATGACCAGCTGCCAGGCGTGCTCGAACCCAAGAGGGTCTTCAAGCAGTTGGAGGTGATGGGATCTCCGCTGTAGGCTTTGAGAGATCCGTTGTAGGTCACTGGGATGTTCACTGTGCTTGTCCTCATGGCTCATGCTTACCCGACTAGAATACCCTATGCTGATCTATTCGACCGGTAGCGTGGGTCGGCCTGGAAAGTTCCTCGGGGTGTTTCTTTGTAGATATAAATCCATGCTACCTGGGCATATCCTGGGGTTGCTGATGCGATCGGGCAGAGGAGGCGGAGCGAGGCTCTTCGTTGAGCAGATGCTCGAGGTGAGGGGGCTTGCTTGAGCACGTGGTTGGGGAGTGGCTACGTCAGCATAATGGCAGGTAGGACATACTGTGAGCGCGCCTATGTTCTCAGGTAGTGGCGAATGAAGAGCGACTCGCTGGTCGAGACTATGCAAAAGGGAAGGAATTTGCTCTGGGGACATCAAAGGTCTTCTTTAGACCTCAAAGTGTGGAGCCTGTTGACTCCCTACTAGTGAGCTAAGGTGTGGAAGGTAGCAGTGTGATAGTCGCGATGCACAGGCCGCTATCGATTGCGATGTGGCTAAGAGGAACAGGGTGGCCCAGGCCATAGCCTCTTCTATCATTCGGAGGCGGAGATATCGACAGCAGTGTTACATCAGGGTAAGGGAGGTTGGGAGAATCTGTGGATGGCCATCTGTCACTTCTAGACCGGAGGGCGCCTCCTCATCATACAAAGAAGACGACAAAACTACTGGAAGTGGTTTCATAACTACTTCCTCCGCCTCACCGCGATCGTCACGTTTATACGTCGCCGTCTATTGCCATCCATGTGAGTATCTTAGGAGGTATGGACGTCTACTGCCTGATGAGGTCTATTGCAGATATGAGAAGCGTCGGATCCGCGAGGCGGCTGCATGCAAAATCCAAAGGCATTGGCGTGCTCGGCGGGAGAGGAGGCGGCGCGAGGCTGCACTTGTCATAGTGTCTCGATTGCGATGCTACCTAGCGAAGAAGATGCTGAAGGAGAGGGCTCAACGGTGAGAGGGTTTGGAGGGATGCTGAGGATCTCTGTTGCTCAGCCGACGGGTCTGCTCGGCTAGTGCCGTCACCATACAGTGCGCGTGGCGACAGAGGACAGCTCGGAGGGAGCTGCGCCGGAGGTTCAACGCCAATGAGGAGGCCAAGAGACGGTCAGTGGAGGCCTGAGTCGGACTGGATGCGAATTTGTTAGTTTTTAGGCGTGCGGAGATAGAGAGGATGAAAGAGCTTCAGCGGGAGAAGGAAGTGGCCGAGCAGGAGTTGAGGGAAGCCAGAGAGCTCATTGAAAGAAAGGAAGGTGGAGGGCGGCTTCTGCCATGGTGACACTGGTCGCAGCTCCCGTTGTTTTCAGAGGAATCTGCCGCAGTATGCCAGGCTCTGGTCAAGCAGGAGGAAGAGAAGACGTGAGAGGTTCGGGAGGGTCTGTGGGCACATTTCATACAGGATCGAGCGGGAGAAGCGCGGCATGGCTCTAGCAGACTGGGAGGCTCGGCAAGCTCGCGAGGCCGATGTGGCTCGCGCCCGAGGTGAGCCATAATGAAGTGCGTCTGACGCGTTAACTGGCCCGGTGGTTGTAGAGGAAATAGAGAAGACGCGGTTGATGGAGGAGCGAGCTTCCTTGGAGGCATCGTTGGCTGAAGAGCGAGCTCGGTTCCAGACCCAGCTGGCAGCTGAGAAGGCGCGGGTGGAGGCTGAGATGGCGGAGGAGAAGGCCAAGATGGAGAGGAACTTGGCGGAGGAACGGGCTGCCATAGAGGCCGAGAGAGCTCGAAATGAGGAGGAGAAGAGGCGCATTGAGGCGGAGCGAGCACAGGAGTGGGGACAGGGCTGAGGTTGTGGTCGGATGGGATTGTTCAGAGCTGCGATGGCTGAGGCCCTTCGACTGCAGCAAATAGAGCTAGACCGAGAGAAGACGGAGCTCGAGCAGGTTAAACTGGCTACTAGCATGGGGCCAGTTAGCTCACCCGGAGACTCGGATGCCTCTGTTGTGAAACGAGAGCAGGAGCTCCTTGCTGAGCGAGAGGTATCTTCAGCCATGGAAATTGACGGATTGGATGTTGCTGTGGTCAGGAGGAGATTGCTAGGTTGAGGGCTGAGGTGGAGGCCTTTAGGATGAAGCAGGATGCTGAGATGAAGATAGAGGTAGACCGGGATGGACCACTCCGCTTGGTGGGGTAGCCTGGGCATAGGGTCCTAGTCGTATGTTCGTGCTGGACTGCTCGCAATGATTTGGAGGATGGTTGTGTTAGGAGGAGGCAGCCTCGTCCAAGAGGGCTCATTCCCCTGCCCTCGACAGCGTCCCACCAGCGAAACGGAGCAGATCGAACTCATCTGAGCTGGGGAAGGGCACTCCCATGCAGAAGTGTGTTGGACTACCATCGAGTGTCTCTAAGTTGCCTGTGGACAGGCCAAGAGCCCTCGGCGACGTGCCAATGATGTCGGCCTCCCCACTGGCCTTCACGCCTGGTCGGGGAGGCGATCGCAGTGAGTCCAGACTGGAGTCGGCAGGGAAGGCCCGGCGGGCAGCGAGAGCGGACTATTCTGGAGGTGGGTAGTGGTTGCGGTCACTTGCAGTCCTGAGGAGTGGATGCAGGGGTGGCAACGGCTGTGAATAGGAGAGAACAGCTGCAGCGGCTCGAGAGGATGTATAATAGCACAGAGAAGGAACGACGGCTGAAGGCCATGCGGGTAAGGGAGGATTGGATTGCCATGGAAATTTTTCTGGTCTTAGGAATCCGCCTTATGGATCGATGACGACAGCGCCACTTCGCCGTCGCCTATCAAGGCCGTTGGGGAGGACCATTGCGGGTGGATACTGGGCTGTGGTGAGGCTCCAATGGTGCTGCTTTTGTAGGGGTGGCGAATGCAGCATGCTGGACATACCCGATCAAGGGATGTGCGAGGCTAAGCCGCAGACTAAGTGGGAAACTGAGCCCTCCGGAATCAGCGAGGCGACAGTGACGGAACGGAAGATCTGGACGAGGGAACAGAGGAATTCATGCCGACTGTAGAAGGAATCCCCCATTGACGTGAAGCCATCCGCTGGTCTGATCAGGACCTCAGAAATATCCATCTCTTCTATAGCCAACAGTGAGAGCCATATCAAGCAGCCTCGGGCTAGGGTTGCAGCGAAGGGCGCCAGAGCAAGGGCAGCTTCGGCAAACACATCCGCTGCTTGTGCATCTAGGGTAAGTACATACCTCAAGGGTTGATCATATCCATCTTGTCCAGAGTGGTAGTGGTGGCAGTATTCCAGCGAGAGCGGTACGGAACTGTCGAGCTGCTGCTGCTGTTTACGAGCACGAGAACATATCAGGTGGGTCGTACTGTGTGACAAGTGGATAACGGGTGTTACACTGTAGGGATCAGCAACGTCTCCAAGCTGAGTGTTAATCAGAGTAGAAGTGGCCTGGCGGGCAAGGGTCGTGGCGCTGGGACGAGGATGCAACCACCAGGGTTTACCACGGTCAAGGGAGTGGCTCGAGGCTCTGCGTCCAACAGGGCTATCTCGGCTCCGGTTACTGGGAGACGGGTGAGAGTAACTTTGAAGGCGAGTAACTGTTGGGGTTTTTAGGGAGCTCCCGAATCGACACGGCCTGATAGTCACAGTTCCAGAATTGGACGAGGGAAAGGTACATTACGAACAGCGGCAGCGACATCATCGTTGCCGACTACTGCACGGCAAGGAAAGGGCGTGACACGACGCTGATGCATCGATAATTCGCTTTCGAATGTAGCTACCATGTGGCAACCACCGACTCTTCTCATAGCCATTCAAGTGTTGCTTTGTATAGTTAAAACTGCGGCGCCGAGCAGAGAGGCTCAGAAACATAACTATCACATTAACTCCACCAGAGGTGGCTTTATAGGGCCGAGGTACTCCACGTCACCATCATGTACGTGTATCAAGTCCTTACGCTAGCTAAGGAATGTAGTGAAACTGATGATAAGTTGTTGATACTCATCATGCGAGTAGCTGGATGAGATTCTTTATTATGTCGGAAGTGTTCTTTCGGTGGGAGTCGCTGTCGAGGAAACATTGACGAGAAATTTGTGCGCCTTTTTGATGGTGTTACCTCATCCATAAGAATTCGCTACTCGTGACGAAGAGGAGGAACCTCTGCCAAAGCGTCTGTCGATTGATCCTCCTGCCGATCCAGCTGGCAGTTGCGGCGCGCCCCCGGTACACGGGAAGGTTTACTAGCCTCGTCGGTGAGAACATCACATACTACTTTGACGGGTCACTTCCGCGACACATCTCCTCGTTTACCGGCCCCATCGACGACTGGGCACTTACTGTCGTTCTGATGATACCGTTGAGGAAACTCAAGATTTGTAAGGTCGTGTTAGAAAGCAAGATCTCAGCGTCCTTCTGAAGATTGTTCAAGTGTAACGGTGTAACCGCGTGGCGAGCGAGAGGGCTGACTAGAACATACTATCGATGATGACTGCGAATAAAGTATCGTGCATTCTAGAGTCGTAGTGTAGTATGCATTATGATGACTGTTAGAGCGAGCTGAATCCCATTCGTTTGCAGCTTCGTTCCATCTATCTCTAATTGACCTTCTACGGTTCTCCGTACCTTCAATTGGAGTTGCGTAAGCTATGACCAACAACGGCAGTGATGCTTCGAACGGTGAAGAACCCTCTGTAACTGAATTCGTGTCTCCCTCTGGTTCGACCCTCATCTGTGGTGGTGCTGTTCCCGGCACAGGATTAGAGATATCGACTGAAGCAAGAGCTTTAGCCCAAAGTGTCAGTGAAGCCAGACTTGCACAAGAAGTTCTGACCCTTCGAGAAGAACTCAACAAGATCAAGCAGCAGGTGTGCCAAGTGACCAAGTGTAACGGAGAAGCAACTCTCAGTTCCCTCCAAACTGCAGGAAACGTGGTAGCCAACGTCATCCGTGGGAATGGTATGGTCGGTCAAAATAGTCCGATCTATTATATCTACGAGTCTGTGAACATTTCTAAAGAGATCTCCGACAAGTATTGGGTTGCATCGATACCACAGCTCTATGAGGAGGTCTGCAGAAATGAGCCTACCCCGTTCCGCGCGCTCTTCAAGGGTGCCAAGAAGGATACTTATGAAGATCTCGGTAGGGCCTTGCTCGAGACGGTTACTATGCTCGAGAAGTCCTGGAACTTTCCGTTGGATATCATAGTGGCCCTATTGCTACATCATGTCTACCAGTACGGTAATGGCATTCATAAGAAGGCGGCTGAAACTGTAGTGCTGCGATTATTGGCTGCGGAAGGGGATCGCGAAGTCGAGGACATTTTGGACGAGATCAAAGTTCAACATGGGCACCTCCTTAGACCATCCTTACCGGTGGATGTAGACTATGCAACTCTGAGTGGGGCAGCTAGGTTCAAGGAGAAGTCTGGATGGGAGAGACTACTCTCTCTCCTGACCCAGGTTCTAGTTCGCATTGGATCGAGTCAGACTTGCCATCTTGAAGCACGCTATCGATGGGAACAGTTGTCCCAAAAATCGAAGGAGTGGCTGGTCGACTTTCTCTCTCGCGAGGATGAGGCCTGGAGCGACATGGTAGCTGCATTCGCGTTCAAACGTGTACCCCCACCAAGTGACTATGATCGTGTGGTGAAAGTGGTTGGTGCGGTCAGCAAGCCTATCCGCGAGCGGTTCAGTGAAGCTCTTCGGAGGAACAGGAAGGCGCCGGAGGAGCTTCTCTTCAAAGATATCACCAAGGAGCTCCTTTCTATCGAGGCCGAGGCGTACGCGGTGTTACCCTGGGAATATGGCTCTGTGCCCAAGCACGTTTCGCGTTCCAAGGACTCTGCGGCTCGGTCGAGAACACACAGCAGTCCGGCCAGGGTATCCGATCACGTTAAGGAGAAGTCTGAAGGAAGGCCGGTTCGTCCCGACAGGTGGTGCACCATTTGTAACAAGTACACCCGACACACGGCTCCTTTCTGCTGGAACAATCCCGACTGCAAGAATGCTCCTGAATGGTTCAAGAACAAGCTCGAGAAGGATACCAAAAAGTCCTCTGACGACGACATCACGAACAGGGAGGATGCTCCTACCTATATGGTGACTTCTCTGATGGCAGAGCCTCTGGCGGTTCCGGCGGTGTTGGCCCGGCTTCGTTCCTCTGCCTATCCAGATCGAGATGTGATAGTGGCCGTCGATACACTATGCGAGCTCAACCTCATTCACGAGGACTTGATCCACTACTGCGAGATCGTAGATTGCCCCCGTGACGAACTGCCCACGCTGGCAGGTTTCAAGAGTGGAAGGGTTGTGCCTAGATGCAAGGTGCGCCTGAGCCTATCCTTTGAGGGCAAAAGATGTTTCCTTTACGCTCTCGCCGTCGACCTACGATCAACGTGTGTGGAGATGGATGTTGTCCTCGGGGCTCAGTCACTTCGAAGGATGGGTGCGGATGTGTGTCTTACGGACGACAGGCTTCAGGTGAAGGACCTCGGTATCGCGATTCCCTTGGTCAGACTAGATCGCAAGCCTCAGCCGGTCTGTTCCGTCCCGGTTTGTAGCATGGTAGAGGCGGTGAACTATGAGGAGCTTTCGGCCATCTGGTCGGAGGAGCGTCTCACGACATCTATGAAGGAGAGGCTTGCGGACATCGGGTATGTGGCCCCGGTGCTCGATTTTGATATTCCTGAGTCCTACCGGAAGACCCCCTACCAATGCCAAGCTCCTTACAACATTCCGGCTAAGCTAGTACCCGGTGTTCACGACAAAATCCGCAAGGAGGTGCTGGCTGGACATTGGGAAGAAGTAGCTCCCACTGCATCCATGTGGATTAGTCCATGCTTCGCCAAGGCGAAAGGAAGACTTATTGAAGAAGGACCGGCCAAAGGCGAGGAAGCGGTTCGACTACTAGTAGATCTACGGCGATTGAACACTATGGTGGACATTCCCGACTATTTCCGGGATGATGGCCTCTCGGCGGCGGAATTTGTGCGTCAGGTTGATCAAAGTGCGAGGTACTTCACCACTGTGGACGTTGAAGCTGCTTTTGAGAGCATACCGGCTGCACCTAGGGCTCAAGACTTGATGTGTTTTGCTATCGGCGGTCGCGTATACCGTAGCAAGGTGGCCCTCCAGGGATTGGGGCTGAGCCCTCTATTGTGGCAATATCATATTCGGCATGGGCTTCAGACTCTCCTCGGAGAAAGCTACCGTGAGTACTGTGCTATCTTCATGGATGACATCCTCATCTGGGGCGATACTGCTGATCAGTGTGAACGACGCCGGAAGGTGGTGGTGGCCGCTATCAATGCTCTTGGGAAGAGGGTAAGCTCTAAGTGTGGTCCTTCTATTGGTGCGAGCGCTGTCTGCATTGGGCTAGAGTTCTCCGCCCGAGGAATCCGGCTGAGCGACGAGAGCATAGCTCGGCTCAAGAGTGCGCTCGCCCAGACTCCTACTAGTGGGTCCCATCTGAGACGAATCCTGGGGTCCATTAACTACGCCCGCAGCGCCTTTCAGTTCGATCGGCTTGCGGGGTTTGGGGAGACCCTCAAGGTCCTGACGCCATTGGTCAACAAGAAGCCATTCAAGATCTCGCCCGAGGCAGAGGATGCCCTAAAGCGGCTGTCTGAGAGCATCGTCAACGCCCCTCTAGGTCTTCACTCGTACAAAGACTTGATATGTGGTGAGGCTAGCTCCTGGGTTGTGACTGTGGACGCTTCTGACCTTGCCATTGGGGCTGCGCTCTTTCGGTATAATGGGCCTTCCCAGGAAGTCTCTATGGAGGACTTGAAAGACCCCGAGAAAGCGGTATTGGTTGGTGCTTTATCTCGTGCTCTGTCGGGCGATGAGGTAAAGTTAATGATCTATGAAAAGGAGATGCTGGCCCTCATGGCCGCCATGCAGAAGTGGGGCAAGCTGTTCATAGCTACCACCAGGCCAAGATCTCCAAGAGAGTCACAGAGTGAGGCTAAGATCCTGGTGTTAACTGACAATACTATCAGTCTCTCTCGATGGACTACTTACCGGCTCCCTCTCTCCCCTTTGATTAGCGCCAAGTCGCGCCGTTTCCTCTCGTGGATCGAGGAGGCCAGTGAGTGGAGATATCTACCCTACACGGTGAGGCACTGTACTGGTACCTCTAACGACGTGGCCGATCTACTCAGCCGCTGGCATGAGCAGCTCCTGTGTCAACCCGAGGAAGACCCACGATGCCAAGGAGACGAGGCCGGCAAGGATCTCTTACCTTTCTGTATGGTCATCCCGGACCTTCTGCGGCCAGCAGATGACGACATGTTGGGTGAGCAGGACTACCCGGTGATGGCTGCTGCGCCCGTGACCTCTGGGGCTCCTCCTGAGGGCGAGAGCCCACCAGAAGAGTGCTATACGGCACCGCAGGTTGCTCATGTAGAGGCTCCCCTGGCGGCACTAGACATTATCGACCTCAACCACAACCAGGCAGCTGTGGTGGAGAAGGCCCTCGCTGAGGATGATTCGGTGTCCAAGGAGTCGCGTCCGCGAGATCTTTGCTGTGGCCGGAAAGTCGACCATTCTGGGTTGTCTCTTTGGTGGTAGAGAAGGTGTCACGATGGTTCGCGAACGGGATATTTGCGATCCGCCAGCCCTTTGCTGGGAGTGAAGTGGGTTTACTATTTTGCCAAGGGTCTCTCAGGACAAGCGATGGCCCTAAAGAGGTTATGGTGATCCCTAGCGATTGCGATGTCGACCTCCAGCCCATGGTACCTACCCTGCTCGAGGACGGTTCGGATAGAGACATGAGGAAGAGTCTGCTAATGAGGCTGCACGACAACTTGCTCACGGCGCACAACAGTAGAGATCGGCTACTAGGCGTGGTCCTTCAAGTTGCTTGGTGGCCGGGGGTGTCGGCCGATGTCAAAGCCTATCGGGCTAGATGTCCAATTTGCTGCCCAGGACGATACCGGCAACCCCCTGGTGTACTCCCCGATTGCCGTACTCGCTTCGACACTTACAGCGTGGATTTGAAGATGATCCCGACGGGTCTCAAGGAGAGGCTGGGTTTGCCGCCCAGTGCGTGTGTGGTCAGTGCCATTGACCTGGCTACTGGTGAGGTGTCTTTTGAGCTTATAAACGACCAGTCCGCTGCCAATGTCGCCAGATTCTTGTGGCATAGAATCATTGTTCGTCATGGCGAGTTCAGTAGGCTCTGCTCCGATCAAGGATCTGTATTTGTCGGCTCGGTTCTGGGTGCTATGAGTAATCTTTTCGGGTGGGTGGTGAAGACCAGTGCGGCCCGTAACCCCACGGGAAACTCACGGATAGAGCGAGCCCATAGAGCTGTGAGTCAGACATTCCGCTGGGTGGAATCTCTGGGTGATGCCGACGGCCCCGATGATCTGAGGCTCTATCTGGGATCAGCTGAGGCCAAGGTCAATCTGGCGGCCAATGAAGAGGGATTGTCGCCCCATCTGGCTGTATATGGTAGTGAACCGTTAATGCCGCTGCTGAAGGAAGGAGTGACCTGCGAATTGGATGACTTGAACAAAGACATTGACAAGAGAACCATCGCTGATATTCGCGAAGCAGCTGTATGGGCAACAGAAGCGCTTGCTGATTCCAGGGACGTGAAGGCCTTCTACAACCGCGCTAGCTTGGCGGCCGGTTCTGCTGTGGATAGTAACACTCTGAAGTTATCGGAGCACGATGAGGTTCTCTACGAAGGCCGAAGAGAAGTGGTGAAGAAACTATTTCGAGCACCTGGGTCTGATATCCCCATAGTGGCGGTTTTGGAGTCGGGCAAGAAGGTTCCCATTGGTGCTTTGGCCCCTGCTACTGAGGTCCGAGCAGCTCACCTTGTCGCGCGTTCTGCGAGCCTCCAGGACGATGCTCTAGTAGATAAGTTCGTGGCGTTCTACTTGCCATCTCAAGATAACCTCGTCATGGTGGGCAAGGTGATTGAGGCCCGGTGTGAGAAGGTTGTTATCTGGGTATATGATGGTGGTGCTAAGACGACCGTGTTCCTCCCCCTCTGGAGGAGCGACGAGGCGACCAAGAGAAGTAAAGAGTCTCCTGGAAGGAATTGGATGGTATTAACGACAGAGGTTCCTGCAAGCTGCATCCTTGCCCGGGTTGAAATACACCCCAACGGTCGTGTGACGGCTGCCAGCAAGGACCGGATTGAGGCCCTTGGGATATCTCGCCCCTCGGATACTCTGTTGGTGACGAACCCCAGTCAAGCCAGTGGTCCGTCAGGGGCTCTGTAACGGTGTAACCGCGTGGCGAGCGAGAGGGCTGACTAGAACATACTATCGATGATGACTGCGAATAAAGTATCGTGCATTCTAGAGTCGTAGTGTAGTATGCATTATGATGACTGTTAGAGCGAGCTGAATCCCATTCGTTTGCAGCTTCGTTCCATCTATCTCTAATTGACCTTCTACGGTTCTCCGTACCTTCAATTGGAGTTGCGTAAGCTATGACCAACAACGGCAGTGATGCTTCGAACGGTGAAGAACCCTCTGTAACTGAATTCGTGTCTCCCTCTGGTTCGACCCTCATCTGTGGTGGTGCTGTTCCCGGCACACAAGGGCGCAACGGACACTCTGCTTGGTCCGACCTCAGGTTCTTTATGGCTGGCAGAGCCTCATTCGGAGCCGCTCCTGCGTGCGGTGGCTGCCCGACGCAGATGCAGGTCTGAGAGTTTGAGGTCTCAGGTAGCCATAGTAATGACTCTTGTTGTTCAGGTGATTCATAGATGCTATGAGGGAGTTCGTATTTAACCTCGACTCGCACTCCGGGAGCTTCCTTCCCAAGATATTCATTGTTAATCACAGCTCTCTCCTGCGGACGGGGTGGCTGCGCGTTTTGTTGTCAACTATTCCTGTTTTTAATTTCTTGTCTACCTATTCTATTGATTCTCGCTTTAGTAGTTCAATATGGGTCCATGTTGCCGTCAGGCTTCAGGGGTGGTCCGTAGGCAAACGGCCATCATCAGGCTTGGACTGAGCACTGGCCCAGAAAATGTGTCGAGATGTATGAAGTGTGAGCTGTATAGCGTAAGGATCGACGGGTGAGCTTTCTCCTTAACGGCTATATCGAACACGCCGGATGAGAAGAAACGGCATCGGGCAAGCACAGATTGGGTACCATACGATTACTCGTGGCAATCGTGCTGATCCTGTAGCGGGGATATCTTGGAGGACTTGACGTTTACATCGCCGACTGAGGACCGTTTTTGGGATCACTGAGTCGCAAAGGTGGCTTTAGCGGATCACCGTCGTTCGTTCGGTAACGAATTTTGCCACGTAGCGTCCCTTGATTTTACATGGCGCACCGAGAGCATAGGATAGAGAGACATGTGTCCTTCGTATTCTAAGCAAGGTCTATGATGTTGGCGAGTTGGATCATTCATTACTCAATGACGGCCCTTCGCCCCACTCGAGGGCTCTTGACGTTGACGAATTCAGCGGAGCGGTTCTTGCTGTATACCCCACCACCGCCCTTGGTCCCGTCAGCCGCGAGTAGCAGGTCTTCAGAGAGAGTCGGTCGAAGGTCGCTACGCCCTTGAGTGTACTAGGCTTCATTTCAGGCGACTCGTCGGCCGCAACCAGCGGTGTCACCGTCGTCGTTGTCGAGCACGCCTCCTGAGGCGGGTGGGTTGCCCTGGGTCGGCGACAGCTTGAAGCTTTGGACTGATACTCGAGGCAAGGCCTTGCAAGAGAGCTACGATGAGGTGCGGGAGGCTAGTCCGTGATGATGGAAAGTGTATAGTCCTGCAGTTCATAAGGCGACCGGAGGCCTTCCCAGCTCATATAGCAGCTCTCCATCCATTAGGTGAATGCCACGGGGTGAGAGAAGTGGTGCTTAGTAGTGCTGATGGTAGTAATGAGTACTCGAGAGCAGAGGGAAGGGCTTGGGTATCCACAGGGAGGGTTGGACGCTGGTGAGCAGTGCCTCACTGTGCAGTTCAGAGTGGTCTTCGCTGTGGCATCCAATCGGACTGGCAAGGGTGGTATATGGTAGCTAGTGCGTGGCGATGAGCTGTGTGGTCAGATTGTAGCTATATAAGGGTCGCGTCAACGAAACAGACATGCCTGCAGGAGTTTTATCAGCTTATTACGACCGCGGCGAAAATGAAGTAGAGAGTAGTGTGTGTGTACGGGGCAAGGCTCGGGCAGGTTGAAGCATCGGAGGATGGTTGAGGATCCTGTGATGAGATGGGTGCTTCGAGAGAAGGAGGAGAATCTTGTGATAATCCCCTTGGAGGTATTAGCACCGGGAGAAGCCCTACTGAGTAATGCCGTATATATATCGTCGTGACTTGTCTGACTGTGTTCATGCAGAGGCTCCGCCATTCAAGGTGCTGGCACCGCAAAGGGCTAGGTATTGGAGTGATGTAATTAAGAACGCGGGGTCTTCGGTCCGCTTGCCATCGTTATGATTAGTGCATCGTTTCTGATCCACCCGGTGTGTTGGGCGTTATATAAGATTCGTGAAGAGGTGTCTGTTAGTGTGTGTCTGTCTTGGTACTATCCTTGATGACTGGGTTGTCGGATTCTTTCGAGACGAGGATTGCGGCTCGCCGTAGGAACTTCAAGAAGGCCTCAGGCGATGCTAGTTAGGTGCGTTGGGAGGGTCTGGTGCTGTGGGAGCAGCGGCGGTGATACTTCAGGATGCTACTGTGCAAATTCGGGAGGAGGGGAAAGAGGACCAGTTGGTCCGTCGTCGCAGGTTAAAAGGCACCGAGATGGAGGAGACTGCCGAGGCCGATTTCAAAACGCTGAGCAAGCCGGCGACTCATTTTGGGTCTAGGGACGAAGGTAGTGGTGGTGTTAGTGGTAGTAGGTTATCGATTGTGGACTTTTGGGTGAGGTCTTTGAGATGCTACTGGGTGCTAAGAAGGATGAGATACTTCGAGAGGCAGTATGGGTAGTTTGCAACCTATGCGCGGGTGGTACGCCGGCCCAGGTCCGCTATGTTGTTGAGCACTACAAGGGCATTACGGCGACATGTGAGGCCGGTGTATGGGATGATAGTTTAGCAGTGGAGTGCATGGTCAGGTACAGTGCTGGACGTGAGGGATTCTAGGATGGTCCAAGTGGTGTTGGAGGCCATCGAGGGCATTTTAAAGGTGGGATGCGAAGTCCAGGAGGAGACGGGAGAGAGCACAAACCGATACCTAGAGTAGGGGAGGGCTGTTGGTTGGGCCGAGGATGGTGTTATGGTCAGAATGTTGGAGGAGTGTGGAGGCTTGAGTAGGATAGAGGAACTGCAAAAAAACGGCAGTAAGGGAGTGTATGAGAGGGCGGCCAGCATTCTCGAGGGGCTGGCGGGGTGCTGGCTATGGTGTTGTTCAGGTATTGCGAAGTAGAGGATGCGAAGGTCTGGGGGCAGCAAGGCTCAGTCGATACAGCATAATAAACAGCCACACTTTTCGCATAAATCATTCATCGTTAATTCACATTGCTGTAAACACTCGGAAATGGAGTCGCTCAAGGCCCGTTCTTATGTAACAGTGGTTAGGTTGTGTTGGCGGGTCCGTCAGGGTCGACTGGGAGGTTGAGTTGTTCATGGCCGGTAGGAGACTCGTTGACTGCAGCTTGAAGGACCTTCTTGGTGACCAACAGATCGCTTGGTGGCTGGTCGGCTGTACAGCAGTTTATGCAGTGCTCTCGGTGGGAAGGGTCATGCGAGTGTGTGGACATGCTGTGCTCAGATGGTTGTGATTCCTACATCACTGGCTGTGGTGACACTATTGGTGATGGGGATAGGAGCAGTGTAGGATGGAGTGTCTATGGTGACGGTCTGTGTGACGGCTTTGTAGGTACGTCGGTAGTTACTGTGGGTTAGAACCCCTTGACCCTGCTCACAAATTACTGTTCCCTGGGCTTCAGCGGAAAACTGATGGAGATATTGTGGCTTGGGAGAGGCGTGTTGAGACGCCTGAAATTGAGGATACGGGACAGCGGCCGGAGGGTTCGTGGGGAGGAGGACGGCTGGGGTCTGGTCGGTACAGCGTGCATCGACAGTTACTCCGCGTAACCCATTGGAGTCTGGCTCTAAGGTGAAGATGAGCATAGGCTCGTCGGGGACGACTAAGGCCAGTTTGAAGGAAGGTGCCCCGATGGAAACACCGGATGCTACTCCTATGAAGTGGGCCGACACGGTTGGGTTGGTGAGCTTCTATTTAGATATAGGTTGGCACTGCCAACACCGTGCAACACGGCTTCTCGGCACGCCGTTGACAAGGTGAACTCAGGCATGGATGACGGAGGAGAAGCAGGGGAGGACTCGTCAGTCATTGGTTGCGCGCTGTGAATTGGTATAAAGGCAGCAGGTCAATCGGCCCGGCAGGGACCTTCCGAGAAGCCCAGCCTTCAATGGGGGATGAGGGTATGTGGTTTAGAGTGAAGGGTAGGGGGAGAAGGTCCTAGGGGCAAGGCTAGGGCCGGTCCTAGGCACCTTCCTGCATGTGGAGTATCCTACAGCGGAGGAAGAGTTGTCGGAGGACGAACGGCCCGGGGCATCTCGACAGGGCAGTATCGAGGCCTCGGTGAGTGGTGACAGCTCGGGTGACTGGTCGACTAGGGAGGTTAGGTGCTGAGCGGGTCGGAGGAGTTATCAGTAGCGAAAGCTGGGGACAGTAGTGACTCCCGGGAGGCTGATGTGGGCAGGAGAAGAAGGCGGTTCCGAAGGCGACGGAGCATCAGTGATGCAGACCTTACGTGATCCTGAGGGGTCGAAGGATCTGTGGTGAGATTATGTGGGTTTGGTTGAGGTACACAGCGTATTTGGCTGAGCTGGCCATGGACCAGGATGGAGGCGGCTCGCTGGAGTCTGATGATATGCTATCGAGTGATGCTAGAGAGGCGCATACGTAAGGGGAAGGCGTGCTCCCTAGGGTTACCCGAGAGGACCGACTGTGACACGTTGCAGAAAACGCACGAAAACGATTCTGGCCATAACCTTTGAACGAGAAATTGTAAAACAGAACCAGGGATATGTCATTAACGAGCGCGATGGCCCTTTAGTTTACCTCGGTAGTTGTCTCCGTGAACTATTCTCCTTTCAGGCTCCCTCCGGGAGATAGCTGCAGCGAGGTGGACGACGCTGCGGCACTTGGAAGTGAGTTGAGGCAGTCGCCGTTTTGAATGGTCAAGGGTTTCGCTCGGAATCCATTGTGGCCTTAACTCAGGTCAAGAGCGTGCTCGGGATGGCCAAGCTAATCGTTCTGTTGTAGCTGTGCCAGAGAGGCGATTGAATCCAGACGCTCCTGAGTTCATACCGCAATACCTCAGTCGGTCATGGCTCTCCATGAAGGGTCCACCTCCGGGCATCGGCCAGCGGAGGACGGGTGAGTCTTCCCGGGGATATGCCAATGAGATGCATTTATGGGACATGTTCCTCCACTTTCAGGTGGCTTGTGGGAACCTCGAGTGTTTCGGTAACTGTAACTAGACGTATGCTGTTCTGTAGGAGCATGGTGGTGACTCTCTGTGTTTTGCTTTGGCAATAGGTACTATACGGCGGCTGTCAATTACCATTTATTCTTGTTCGATTTCTCTCTGTTGTATTATGGTCATCACTCACAGTCGCCCAGTACAATCGTGCCTCTAGCCTCTCACCTGCCACCAGCCGGTCGAATCGTCGCCGGGGCGGTCGGGGATGGCGTCGTCATCATCATGAATTCAATGCATGGAGTTCAGTCAACATGCGAGTTGTGTTACCTCGCAAATTCACTCTGGTCTGTTCCCTGTGGGTGGACGAATATGCGAATGGGTTCACTAACTGGCTCGTGGTCTTAGACAGCCATCCTTCAGTACATGGCCGCATGATGATGCTGTGGCGGTGAGGCAGCCCTTTACGGTCGACCCCGAGTCGGTGAATATCGCTCTCCGTAGTAGTGGAAGGGGTATCGATAATAGTAGTAGTAGCAGGCTGGGTTGCGATCATCAAAGATTGCATGAACGCCTTTCGGTGAGCGAGGAAGTTCTTTGAAGGGTCGCCCTCAGAGTCGGCAAGGCTGCTTGGTTCGCTCTTGCAATTGATAAGAATGTACTCTTCGCACAGCGGGTGTTCGCAGGCATAGCAGCAGGCTCAGTGGTAAAGGGGGATGAGGCGATAACGTACGTTTTAAGTTTCCGCTACAATGCCCCCATCGGGCTCAGTGTTGAGTTCCGGGGCACAGTCGGGTGCAAATATAATGGGCTCGTCATGAATATACGTGGTGTGGCGTCAGAGTCAGGAAGGCTGCGTGATCGGCTAGGGGCCATGTTCTGTTATCGTGAGAGTTTGACTGGGTAGAGAGCCTGTAGATGAGACGAGCCAGGCAGCTTTGCGATATCATCATCACCAATCATGAATTCACCCAGCAAGGGGATGAAGACTGTCTCTGGGAGGTACCCTCGGTGAGTCGAGACTCTTACGCTTAGGACGGTATTGTTGTTGCTGAACAGGTTCGAACTACGCGATGAGCACAAGGCGGAGTTGAAGGAAGCCTTTGATGTGTTCGACCGTGAGGGTACTGGTATCATCGATATCAGGGGTCTCCGCGTAAGCCTGGGATGGCTTGGTGTGTTTGAGTCGTTGATTCAGGTCATTCTGCGAGCTCTGGGATTCGAGACTGAGAAGGAAGAGTTGAAGCGTTTGGTTGGTGGGTCGCGGGAGATGATCTTACGGTGATGAACCGGGAGTGAACCATTCAGGGAAATACACAAGAGGGTCGGTGCCGAAGTCGGGTCCAGTGGTCGGGGAGGAGACGATGACTGATGATAAGCAGTCGGAGCCACCCCAGTCCCGACAACAGCAGCTACGGGATGCGTCACGACCATCGACAGCGGCACAACAGGATGGGGATGAGGGCAAGGCTGATGAGCAAGAGGAGGATGGTGAGGAAGGGTCGCCAAGGGAGCATGGTAGGGAGGACTGCATTAGATGGGGGAGAAGATTTGGTGATGGTGAGGTACGTTGGACTTCTATGAATTCCTAGAAATTATGTTGGAGAAGATGACGGAGCAGGACTCGAGGGCCGTAGTGGAGAAAGCCTACCATATGTTCAAAGGGGAGTCTGGCAAGGTATCGCATGCTAATCTCAAGTCGCTAGCGATGGAGCTCGGTAGTACATCTGGGGCAATCTTAGTTGTGATGATGGCAGTTCAGGTGAGCACTTATCGGAGGACGAGCTGAATGAGATGATGAAGGGGGCAGATGTTGATGGTGATGGGCTGATCAGTGAGGAGGAATTCATGAGGATTATCCTTAAGCCTGACAGCAGACCATTCTGAGCATGGAATCCTGGTCTGCGGAAGTGTCAATGGTCGCTGCCTTCTGCTTGCGTTTATTATGGCATGTACGGTTGGGGACGCGGGGTAGTCCTTGTGAATTTCGTGGTCCACGGAGGTTTACCCGGATTGGAATTCACATGTAAAACTCGGTCCCGGGAGCGCTGTTGAAACTGAGGAGAGGTCTGTCGAACACCTCCACTGCTGCTGAGCTCAGGGTGAGACATTATTCAGCCACAGGAGAGAGTTAGTGAAGTCTTCGGTAATCTGGTGATGTGGTTGTCTATGATGATAAAAGGCGAATCTGCACCCGGTGCTAGGACCGAGGCATGATTAATGAAATCTTTAGTATCTGAGACGATGCTATCTATCCGCTTCATGACAGGTCTCGGACAGC